AATAATAACTTTTACCTATCATAATGTTACACAAACCCCACCACACGTATATACATACATGCGAGGAAATATTTTTCCGCGGAAAAATACATAATATGACATGTATACATTCACGAGACATTAACGAGACATTTCCGCCACACTTCCAATGTTTAAATTTCAACATTTCAACATACAAATGCGTATGTATAGACATAACACCACCCGTATACACATATGTCATATCCGAAACTGCCCACATATGTTTTATATGTATGAGTCCCGACGGACGACCAAGTATGTATATGTGTCTGCATACATCGATGTTTGCGTTAGTACGATGAATGACAAAACGACGAAGTTTACCCCACCACTTCCACAATAACACCAATACACGCAATCTACATAAACCCAATTTTTTTAAAACATTAATCAGTTTGTCTGACGATCGCTAAAGCGTGAAACCCAGGGTCACAAACTCAACCAAAAATATATATATATATATATATATATATATATATATATATATATATATATATATATGTGTGTGTGTGTGTGTGTGTGTGTGTGTGTATGTATGTGTGTGTGTGTCCAAATTTAATTTCATTGGTCTGAAGTCATTTCAAAAAATAAATTGCATTTATTTGTTAAAAATGCGGTTATATACTTTAATTTATGATGTTCCGTTATGTTATACTTTATTTTCAAATGTCACACTATCATGTGTTAGATTTTGGTACGCGTTTTTACTATTAAGTAACGAGGTGAGTAGGCAACGCGTCAGTCTTAAAGAAAATGTCGATGGAGGGAATACTTACTCAACATCAAGAAAAGGCAGCTGAACTTCCTTGGCCACATAATGAGGAAGGAGGGTTTGGAAAACTTAACCCTCACGAAACATATTGAGTCCAAGAGAGATAATGGAGGACAGCGTGCCGCTTACCTGACGATCTCGTGTGAATGATTGGCGGAACGTGTAGCCGTGGCTTTATCAAAGGGAGGAAACATGCTACTAGCCACCCGAGACAGAAAGTTATGGGGAGCTGTTATCACCTATGTCCCGAAAGGTTTCTTTTTTTTTTTTTTTTGGTAATTAGCTTAAAAGGCGGACTCTGTGTTCCCTTTTAAGCTAGCTTCGACCCAAAACTAAAGGGACCCACGGTTCAGCTAAAAATACAGAATTGGTAATTTTGAAGAAATAACTTTAAATTCTTCAATTCACTTCATGGAACTTCAAACCCTCTCTTTAACTCTGATTCGGGATACAAGTCCAATTCCGGACAAAATTCGGATTTGGGCCGAAATTCTAATTCAGGATGAAAATTGGGTTCTTCAAATCACAAACTGAGTGGAACTTCAACTGTGTTGTGATCATCAAATCACAAAGTGGAACTTCAATTGAGTTGTGTTCTTCAAATCCCAAACTCAATGGAACTTCAATTGAGTTGTGTTCTTCAAATCACAAACTCAATGGAACTTCAATTGAGTTGTGTTCTTCAAATCCCAAACTCAACGGAACTTCAATTGAGTTGTGTTCTTCAAATCCCAAACTCAATGGAACTTCAATTGAGTTGTGTTCTTCAAATCCCAAACTCAATGGAACTTCAATTGAGTTGTGTTCTTCAAATCCCAAACTCAACGGAACTTCAAAACCACACCTCGCGAAACCTCTCCTTTTAATTTTGATTCCTTGGTATTTTGAAGGAATAAAATTGATTTTCTCAATTCACAATGTTTTGGAGATATTTTTAACTGAATTCAAAACAAAACATTTTAAATTCACAAAGTTTTTCTCTTACTTTAAAACTCAATATAAATAAAAAAAAACTTTTAAAATGATAAAGTTTTTTCAGTTATTTTAAAATTTGAATTTTTAACCGTTTCCTCCTCATCTGGACACAGATTCCAATGCTGGATGCTCAAGCACCAGATGAAGAGCAGATTTTCAATCTCAAGACCATCCTGATTCCATAAAAATATAATATGTTTATGTAGAGCCAGTGTAACCTGAGTTAGAGCGGTGTCAGACACATGGACGGACAGACAGAATTTGCCGATTTTTTCTTTTGATGGATATAAGATAGAATAAGATTTGAATTTCTAATTGTTTCCTCCGGACACAGATTCCAATGCTGGATGTTCAAGCACTAGATGAAGGACAGATTTTCAATTCCGTGGTTATCCTGATTCCAAAATGGTATAATATATGTAGTTAGAGCAAGTGTAGACCAAGTTCGAGGGGTTTCAGACACACGGACAGACTGACAGAATTTGCCATTTATTTATTTAGACTATTATTCGTAAATTCTTATTCTCTAGTGGCTGACAGTGTGTTCTGATAGATCAATCTTTTACTTAGCTTTATGATTAGCCAAATAATTAATTCAATTTTGTTCTTAACTGTTATTGTTTATAGTGCTTAGTTTTAAATCTTTCATTCGGAAGGATTGCTTTTGATTGTATTATGACAGCTTTAAATGTAAAAATGTGACTCAAATGCTTAACTAAAAGGTTTTAAAATACAGTTTATAGAGAAGTGATTGTGAATAAATGAATGTATCAAAAGTGGTTTGTATAGTAACATGCTGGAGATTTCTCACTGAATGATGTTTCACCATCCTGGGAGACCAGCTCAGGTTGATAATGATCAAATGAGATTACTTGATGATAGTGTTATACAATGTAGGAGATAGTTAATATACTAAAAATATTCAAGCCAATTGCTGAAAGTTATTTGAACCTATTTGGCTATATTGGGCAATTTGAAGTATGGCCTCCACAAAAAAAAAAAAAAAAAAAAAATCTACAGGGTATATTTAAATTGTTTGATGACCAAGCAGAAAATATCCACTGGATATTGTACCTTCAGAATGATTACCATTTGTTTTAGTGTTAACAGAATTCTCTTGATGCAAAAGACATTAGAGACTGTAAAAGGCACCTAAAACATTTCTTTCCTGAGAAAGATAATGATAAAATGAGGACATTACTTGATGATAGTGTTATGCAACGCTGGAAATAACCAATATACTACAAAAATTCAAGCCAATTGCTGAAAATTATTTGTAAGTATTTTAATTTTTGTTATTATTAGAGAATGTGTAAGGGATTTCAGAAGCAACATTTTTGATTCTCTTGTAATTGTCTTATTACTAATGATAATATATCTTTATTTAGTTTTCGGCAGTGGCTGTCCTTTTTTTAAAGGGCAATTCACCCCAAACAAGGTGGGAGTGCCACTAGCACGCAAGGGGTTACAAAGGATTGAGAACAAGAGTTAAGAGACGTGTTTGAGGAAAGGATATAGAGAAGGACGGGGGAAGAAACTCAGGGAGTCAGATGTCGATTGACATTACACTTGAATATTTGTAGATTATAGTAATCGGGGAAGCAAGTAAAGAGAAGGGAGTTCCACAGGCGGGAAGTGCGGGAGAAGAAGCTGTTTGAGAAGCGACGGTTACATTTAACCATTTTAACAGTGAAAGGGTGGGACCGAGATGCCAGCCTGGTAGCACATTTAAATTCATGTAGTCTGAGAACCAGCGAAAGTAGCTCTTCGGAACAGTTGCCATGAAAATATTTGTAGAAGAGACAGAGGGAGGCCACAGCAAGTCTCTGGGTTAGCGATTGTAGACTAGATGCCAGATCAGGACCTGTCATCTTGCATATTCGTCTCTGGATTTTGTCAAGGACCTCGAGACGTACAGCGGGAGCACCAGACCATGACGGCAATATTCCATGCAAGGACGGATACTTGATTTATAGATTTGAAGGATGGACTCAGACGAGAAAAAACTTTCTGGCACGACGTAGAGAGCCAACTTAACTTGGGTGCGTGACTTACGACGTTCGCTTTCTAACCGCGAGAACCAGGTTCAAATCTTACTATGGTGACATATAGATGCTATTTTTTGCAAGGCAGTAAAGCCACTAAGACACAAAGGGTGACAGGGTGTGGAAGAATTAGGAACAGAAACATTAATAATGAGTGGGAAGATAAAAGAGTAATTAGGTGGACAGTAGACAGTGATTGACAATGCATTTAAATTTTTGAAGATTAAAGTTGGTTGGAAGCATGGAGCCGGAAGGGAAAATTATTGGGCAGGAGAGGCGATATCAGCGTGATGCACCTTTGAAAAATGACTGGAAATTATACCACGGGCTGACCCCCAAGCTATATGAGTGGAATTAGCTCGACGGAACTCTTTGGAAGCCGTTGACGGTTGCGTTAGCACGAGGTCGCAAGTCAGCGTGACTGAGTGTTTAAGGGTGCTGGCGTTATTCTAACTGCTGATCGCGCCAGATTTTGCGTTACCTCTCTCAGAAGCTGTAACTCAGCGTCGCCTATTAAACTTACACAATGACCCAAATTAGCGGTATGGGGGGAGGGGATTATGTGGGTGTTGAACAAACACAAATGTGTCTGAGCAGGCGTCTGCCACAGTGATTGTCTAGTCGCCGCAACAAACGGGCATGCTCGGAAACGAGTGGGCGGCCATTATTATTATGAGAAGTTTATTGAGTTTTTGGTCATGGTAAGAAAAAGTTTAATTTGTTTTTGTTAGTAGATAATATATATGTATATATATATTGAGTTACTTATCAGTTTTCTTCGAATTTGTAATTACTATAGTTTCGGTGGAATAGCAGTTTACTTAACGTCGCTTTGATATGGCACAAGGTCGTAAGTATGAAACAGTGGGGAACGATCACACTTAGTTATATGCCATGCGTGATACACGCTTAGGCGATCATGAATGACGTCACGTAGAAACCATCTTCGAATAATGACAGAAGAGAGATAAACTCTTGTTGAAGATTTATTCTTTATACCAAAGCCATACTATTCACTAATTATTGTTTTGTTTTAGTTTGTTTGTTTGTTTGTTTGTTTGTTTGTTTCTTTCTTTCTTTCTTTCTTTCTTAATGTCTACCCACTCCCTCACTCTTTCTTACTTCAGAATTTCCCGTTCCTTTCTTTAATTTCTTCAGGACATCACTCCTTTTTTCTTTGCTAATAGCTATCCACGCTTTCCTTCCTTTCTTTCTTTCTTTGTTTCTTTGTTTGTTTGTTTGTTTCTTTCTTTCTTACTTTCTTTCTTTCTACCCACTCCCTCACTCTTTCTTCAGAATTTCCCGTTCCTTTCTTTATTTTCTTAATGTCATCACTCCTTTTTTATTTGCTAGTAGCTACCCACGCCTTTCTTTCTTTCTTTCTTTCTTTCTTTCTTTCTTTCTTTCTTTCTTAATATATACCCACTCCCTCACTTCAGAATTTCCCGCTCCTTTCTTTAATTTCTTAATGCCATCATTCCTTTTTTCTTTGCTAATAGCTTTCTTTCTTTCTTTCTTTCTTTCTTTCTTTCTTTCTTTCTTTCTTTCTTTCTTTCTTAAAATACAATTAAAATTATCATTGATTAATGTTTAACATTTTTAATTATAAAATATATTACGTGACAAGTGTGTTAGATGTGCTTTATTTACTAAATTATTTATGATACTTAATTAGTATCTACATGAGCAGCCACTAATATATTTAAGTTGACATGAGTTTGTATTGGTTGCATTGTCTTTATAAACGATGTTATCGTTAAATTAAATTCCACTAAATCAAAATAGTTTATATTGATGTTATGTTTAAATATTAAAGAAATTAATTTTTATCCCAAACTGATATAAAAATTTCTAATATTGTCTATATTTTTACTTAATATAAATATACAATCAACAGAAGTGAAAATTATTGGCTTAGGTTCATCTAAGTGCCATAAATGCAGCCTTGTAGCACGCCTAATCTATGCTTAGTAAATCAATATAAAGGATGTTTGTGCTTTACAAGAAGTGTGAACGAGAAACTAAAAGAAGAAAGAAAAAAGAGTATTAAAATATTGAAAGAATGAATGAAAGAAGAAAGGAAACATTCACCAAAGATAATAAAAGAAATTAAGAAAAAAGCTAATGAGTAAAGAAAATATGAAAAAGAAAACGAAAAGAAAAATCTAAGAGAATATGAAGAAGATGAAAAAGATAAAATGGAGAAAACGAAAAGAAAAATGGAATATAAAATGAAGAAGATAAAAAAAGATAAAATTGAGAGGAGACAACGAAGAGAAAAATGGAGGATAAAATGAAGAAGATAAAAAAAATAAAATGGAGAGGAGAAAGCGAAAAAAAATGAATAAAGATAAAAAACAAATGAAAGAAAAATGAATGACGGGGAAGAAGTGGGGGTAACGGAAAAATAAAAAACAGATATAGAAGAAAAATGAAAGCGAAATCACCCGAACATAATGAAAAATAAAATTAACAGCGAAATCTCAATGAAGAGAAGCAGGATGAGCTGAGTGAAATTCATGCGGAATTATTATAATTTGGTCGTGTAAAGATATTACCAAGTTCCACTGTCGGCCGGTCTATTAGCTAGGGAACACATATATCTCCCTTTTACTTAGTCTGTTTCTTTCTTTCTTTCTTTCTTTCTTTCTTTCTTTCTTTCTATCTATCTATCTATCTATCTATCTATCTATCTATCTATCAGAGAGACAGCTTCGAGGACAATTATTGTAAAAGAATGACACTATGGCGAGGACTAGATGTTAATTTTGTTATTCTTTGCCCGCTTCTACTCTTAAATATGTTCCTTTATTACTAATGTTCATCAAATACAAGGTCCAAGAGCCACTTAAGGTAGAAGGTTACCGTGTGGTGTTGTATGAGCGTAAAAAAAGAAATAAGTGCAGTTCACGAGGGTATATAGAAAAAATAACAGTTAATTCTAAACTTGAACACGTCAAAATAGTCGCGACCGGAAAACACCTTGCCGGGAGTTGGTTCCACAAAGCAGCAATTCTTGGAAAGAAGCCGTCAGAGTGAAACTTCCTCCTTACTAATGGAATACGAAGGGAATGGGGATGATTTCTTCTTGTGTATGTGACAAGGTGAGTCCCAGTTGCAAATCTCAATGGAACCAAGGAATATAGTTTGTTTGAATACTTACTATGGAAATAGCGATAGAATAACGAGAGGGTTCTGACATTTATGTAGCAACCCCCGATGCCACACCTTATGCTAATTTCAAAAGACTTTAAGAGTCTGATTTTGCGAGAGAAGCTTGTAATACACAACACCCTACCAGTCATACCACATATACAACATCACATTCTCTGGATGCAGACCGGCTTTTTAGAATGATTTTCGTCCTTTCCAGGTCCGTTTCTGATAAACATTGTTATAAACAATCCACTTTTCATCGTTTGCGACCGTTCTTTGAAAGAATAGGTTGTTTTTTATGTGTCTGCACAGAGACTCGCAATGGAAATGCTGTCCATTAAATTTTTTCGTTAAATTATGAGACATATAAATATAGTAGCGATCCACTTACGCAAGTGTTTTCAAAAGTTTTAACGCTCATTTGAGATATGTGGAGTATTTCTGCGATATGCCGTGTCGTATGACCAGGATTATTTTTTTTATCAGCGTTTTGATTTGGTTATTATCAACATCTGCAGGCCTTCCAGAACGTTTTCACTTCTGTATTTTGCAAAGAGATGGATTCACACTGCACACATACCCTTGGCAAAGGTATCAATCCATCTCTTCTCCGCCATTTAGGGGTCGAATAGCAGGACAGGCTGGATTATTTAGCCTTGATTGGCAACCAGTCTACCACAGGAAGAGATGGCAACCTACTGCCGGAAAAAATGTGCCTTGTCAGTCATGTGTCAAAAGATACATGATCGCCCAAGCGTTAATTACATATGACACACAACTGACTGACTCTTCTACCAAAGCGCATAATAAAGATACTTTCAGATATGGTACTATCTTCATAAACGGCACATATCGTTTTTGCTATTTGCTATTAGTAAAGCGTTTTTTGTTTTTCTTTCAAATGACATCTTCTTCTTTTTACTTTTAGCGTAAAAACATTTAAAATTCACAATCCACACACAAAGACGCGTCAAAAAAAAGTGTCAGAAGGCAATATATATATATATATATATATATATATATATATATATATATATATATATATATATATATATATATTAGGCAGCAATTTTTATTTATGCATGTTTCATTAAATAATATAGACAAGTTTTGTGTATTTGTTTTAAGTAAGTTCCTTTCATATTGTCTGGATTTAAACATCAATATCGTGATTTCCTTTCGTCTTTCAATGGTAGTGTTATTAAGCTTATCAGACAATATGAAAGGAACTTACTTAAAATAAATAGACAAAACTTGTCTATATTATTTAATGAAACATTCATCAATATATATATATATATATATATATATATATATTATAAACTGTTACGTCGGAACATGCAAGTTACCGCTACAAAAATGTATATTTGTTTCGACGTCTAAAGGCGGTTAACGATAGTGGTCTTTAGATGTGGAAACAAATATGGATTTTTGTCGCAGTAACTTGCATGTTCCTGTGTAACAGTTTATAATAGATATTTAATACTCTACTCTTGTACTGAGCACTTTTTAAATTAATTTTATGAACCCTTGAATTTATATTCTTTTCGTTCTTTTACATATATACATACACACATACACACATACACATATATATATATATATATGAAAATTTCTCAGAGTTAACCTGTAGAAAAGACAATATTTATAAATATGAATGACAATAGGAAAACTTTAGTTATTGCTGACGCGTTTCGTCCAATGTGGACTTTCTCAAAGCAAAAAACAAAATGAATTTAACTAAAGAATGTTACTAATAATAACAACAAAAAACAGAATGTTTCTAGCAACTGGAGGAATGTAGAGAACGCTATTTTCATATTGTTAACTGAAATTAACGTCAGTTATTGTCACATGTGGAGAATATTGTCATTATAGCTGTGTTGGCGTATTCAACCATTTTCTTTTGATTTTACGATATTGTTGTGTACGCCATAGAATATTACCCAAATATTAATCTACGCCCAGGATTTTTCCCTATTTCACCTTTCTTAACAAAATTACTGCTCTCCCAAACAAACGTACATATATATATATATATATTTGAATAAAAACAGACCTTTTTAAGGTTCCATGTAATAAATTATTTCACCACAGCCCCTTTTAAAGGGCCCTGGATCATCAGACATTTCTTTTAATTTTTCATTTCAACCTTTGGAAGTAAAGTCTGATGATCCGCAGTCCTTTTAAAAGGGCTGTGGTAAAATAATTTATTACGTGGAACCTTAAAGTGGTCCGTTTTTATTCAAATTTATTTGGTCTGAATTTACATTGAGCTCTCTGGATATCATCATCCTTGGGTCTACCCATACGGATTACCTAGTTTTGCATAAACTAAGTATATATATATATATATATATATATATATATATATATATATATATATATAAAGTGAATATAGAAGTTAACACTTAGAGGCGACAGTCTGTTTCATGCTAGATGCAATCGTCAGGCCATGAAACAAACTGTCACATCTAAGTGTTGACTTCTATGTTCACTTTTATATTTACACACGCTCTATCTCTGATATTGAGCACTTTATCCCATAAATATAGCACATCTTAAGATTATTTTTCTTCATATATATATATATATATATATATATATATATATATAGAGAGAGAGATAGATAGATAGATAGATAGATAGATAGATAGATAGATAGATAAAAATGAACAGCCGACGTCAATTCTGGAAATTTGAGATTTTCAGGCAATCAATCCCTATCGGTAGCCATCAAATTCTTCTGATGTAACTCTACAGATAACAGCATTAATAAATGCCAGCTCAAAAACCGCCATAATCACTACTACTACTAGTACTACTACTACTACTACTACTACTACTACTACTGCTGCTGCTGCTGCTGTTGCTACTACAATACTTTTCCTTGCTCTCTCCTGCTCAATAATAATAATAATAATAATAATAATAATAGTAATAATAATAATAATCTTCATTATAATGTGCTGCAAATATCTCTTTTGTGCCACTATATCAAGCAAAGGTCGTATTTTTTAAGAGCACCAAAATCATGAATATTCATAAGTACATCTACATTAATATTCATGAGTCATTGATTTTTTTCCCGCCATTCTTTACTGAAATATTGTGCAGAACGCCTCTTTTGTTTCGTCTGTACAAAAGCAAAAATCGCAACGGTATATTAGAAAATGAGCAGCCAACATATGAACTGACCTTTAGACCCCCCCCACCGACTAAAATAAAAAAAAGAAAGAGAGAAAACTTTGCAGTCAGCTCGTCTTTCCACCCTTCCCAATTTCTTAGCGTCAGGTCCTTTTGTTGGGTGCAGAAACATAACACACCTCCATACAGAAAAACACATAGACGAACACATGTGCAGGTGTATAAACGTGCAACTGCAAACACACATAGGTATATATGCATATAAATTATATATATATATATATATATATATATATATATATATAGGAAAAGAACAGACAGACCCACCGTTCTTAGCTCGATACATTATAGACCAAAACATTATAACAATATTTTTATTATAAAAAGATTTTAGTCGCTACACAAAAATTTCTATGTTTCGGAACTTGAAAATTGTTCCATCATCAGGCAATATTGGGTTAAGTTACTAAGTTTGATATATATATATATATATATATATATATATATATATATATATATATATATATATATATATATATATCTGTGTGTGTGTGGTTGTATATGTGCGTGTTTCTTCTTCTTTGAGTGTGTGTGTGTGTGTGTACCGAGGGTTGTCGAGAGATTTTCGGCATGACCAACTTTAGAAAATCTGAGTAAATAATTTTTAAAAATGCTTTTTTGCTGTGGCCGAGAAATTTTCAGCAACAACTTGTATGCATGTGTGTGCTCGTGTGTGTATTTGAAGAAAAAAAAGAAAGAAAGAAAGAAAGAAAGAGAATCATACTTAGATATTTATATGTCTACCATTCGTCCGTGCTTTGAATACTACTACCACATCTGGTCTGGTTCCTCTGCTGCATATATAGAGAGATTGTAGATAAATTCTAAAGAAGAATCTGCAGTGTTATTGGTCCTGACCTGGCATCTCGGCTTCAGTCACTTTCTTGTCACTGTAACGTAGCTTCCCTGTGTCTTTTCTATAAATATTTTCATGGTAATTTTTCTGATAATTGTTCTCTATGGTACCTAGACTCAATGAATGAATACTACTGCCACATCTGGTCTGGTTCCTCTGCTGCATATATAGAGATTGTAGATAAATTCTAAAGAAGAATCTGTCTTTGGCTATAAATATTTTCTATAAATAATGGTAATTTTCTGATAATTGTCCTCTATGGTACCTAGACTCAATGAATTTAAGCGCAGTACTAGATTGGCAGCAAGGTCTCATCATTTTACAGTTGAAATGGCTAAATGTATCTGTAAGTTCTATGCTAACAGTTGCTTATATCGCACTTCTCGTTTTTTACCTCCCAGTCAACTTTGAGCTTCAAAAATTTAAATGCAATGTCAATCGTTATCTACTGTCTTCTTGTTTGCGTTAATGTTCTCTCTCCTGAATAGAATTTTTTTATCGTGTTCTCTAACATTCAGTAAC